AAAGGGAGAAGGACGAGGAACGCAGGAGGAGAAGAAGATAAAGAGGAAAGATGGAGAAAGGAGGAAGACGCAATGGGAAGGAGAAAATGAAGGAAGCGAACGAGCACTGCTGAAGGAGGAAATAAGTGGAGGAAGAGGAGGAGTTAAACAGAAGAACAGAAAAGTTTAATTAAACAAGCAGAAGAAGAACGAGAAGAAAGGAGGAGGAAGGAGACAAGTAAAGAAGATGAAAGAGGAGGAAGGAATAATAACAACACGGACTCTGATCACGGCTGTCCTCCTCTTGCTCCTCCTCTTGCTCCTCCTCCTCCTCACATGCTGAGTAAGGCAGGCTCTGCGATTCGCTGCAAACGACTAAACTGTTTGTGGGGCAGTGGCTGAAAATCCTGAGTTTGATTCATCGACGCAGAAAAAACAAATAAATAAATAAATAAAACGAGCCTTTATGTGAGCAGCAGGAAACAGGAAGTCTGCCCGTCTGGCGAGCAAAGACCTCGGATCTGAAGTCGGCTTTAGACACATTTTTTTTTAAAACCCCAAAAAGCAGTTTTATTGTTTTAGTGTTTGTTACGTGTAGTTATTCATTTACTCGTTTACTTTGTGCCATTCCAAAACCGCAGCAGAGCGCCCTCTGGTGGACAAATTACATAACGCGGCTGCAGGGCTCTTCATTTATCAGCCAATCAGGCGGGCTCTCATATTTGAGCCCTATTTTAGAAGTTTGACTTCCATGACCATCCACGGATGAGGTCAGGGGCGGAGTTATAAGTGCGCAGTGGGCGTCCAAGGGCAGGACCTAACCTTAACGTACACCTCTGCCTTCGCGAGCGGTCGACACTAAAACACTAGTGGGCAGGCTGTCACATGATCCACCTCAGGTGCTTCAAACCCCACTCGCACTTTGTCCCCAGTGACAATGCCCCACCCCTTTTTTCCACCCCTTTGCTCAGCACCACCCGGTGACGTCATACCTGGCAACAGGCGGGTTCCTGCGGCCCTCAAACAGCACTCAGAAAAACAAACCCTACTGTCAGAGCGTGTTTTGAACTCACTTGTCCTCCCCCAACACCACTCCAAAGCCAGCGTGCTCCACCCGGATCACTTTGGGGTCGTACCAGCCGATCAGCTGAACTGCGGCGAACACCACCTGGAAGTGCGTGCTCTGGAGGGGAAAACACACCCAAATCCAGTGAGACACGCTCCAAACGTCATGTTTAGGAAAGAGACGGAGCTCAGAGTTAAATCCAAACCTCTGTGGTCGCGTCTCCACCTACCTGTCCACTGTCGGTGACGTAGATGATGATGTCGGCCTTCTCTTCGAAGATTCGTTGGCGAATGGCCGCGAGGTCTGACGTGTCGTAGGTGTAGCCCCCGTCTGACTTGACGACGGTGAGGGGGATGGGCTGCCCTGGGGGGAAGACGACCTTACGACCCTCGTCGAGCTCCACCAGGCCTGAGGTGGAGATTTAAAAAGATGGAGGCGGTTTAATGAGAGGGGAAAGAAAGAAGGTCCAGTCAGTCCAAAAAAGACACGGAGATAAAAACAGGAGGGCACCAAACATTCATGAGGCAATGCTGCCACCTGGTGGCGACACTCAGAAACTACAGGCTGCACTTTATTATCCACTGAAAGAGGAAAAACTGATTCTATGAAGATTTCTATAAAAATCAGTGTGATCAAGAGAACAAATAAGCTCTATTTCTGGTAACCCTAAATGCTCAGAAATGCCCTCCGTGACCTTTGACCTGCTGCACACTGACCTTTCTTCTCAAACTCCTTCACCACCTCAACCATTTGGTCCTGGTAGTACGACTCTCCTCTCTCGATGAGCTTGATGTCCAGGCAGTCGTAAATTTTCTGAAACTCTGGAGAAATAAAACAAAAGAAATAATTAAAACCTGTCACA